AAAGAGTGTTTGAAGTTGTTGCTCTAACTTATGAGTGTAGAACATTAATATAAAGAAAAACACCATAAATTTAAAAGATTCAAGTAGTTTTATCATTCCTTTTACTATTTGGGGTTACTTTTTAGAAAATCCCTATGTGACATAGAAGTTAGCATCAACCTAACTCCTCTATCTATCTTTAGGAAACAAACAATAAAACTATAAAACTGGTGCAATCAACCACAATAACTATTTAATTATTTGTTCATTCTTTAACTTATCTTAGTGGCTAATAGAAAATGTTTTAGTCAAGTTATATAAGTTTATCTTTACTAATATCTTCATAGTATTGGATATGTAAGACGGCATAGAGGTACCCATCATACTAATTATATAATTCTTAGAAATAGGAAGGGCTTTGTTTGCTATTCAAAAAAGAGAATTGATTATGATAGTGCAAGATCAATAAGTAAAATTTATTGTGCTAAAATAAATTCAATGAGGCAACTATGGTGCACAATTTAGTGCAAGGGAGATTTCATAATGATTTGGAGGTTGATCCACTAAAGTAATTATTAATTATTAAAGAAAAAAAGGATGGAAGGAGAGGGTTTGCTCTATATATATAGATTGTACCTAGACTTTATAAGAAAATATTTAAGACATTGAGTACATCATCTTAGGAGAATAGTTGAAAAAATTAATAATGGATGCAATTAAATTAGAATTGATGAAATTGCATAAATATTTAAAGCACGTCTCTATATAAAGAAGCATCCACTCTTCCTGTTATAATATTTTTGCTTAAATTACTAGATTGACCAAGTTGAGCAAGTAGAAGATCTCGTTCTTTGCTGGCCTATCCTTTTTTGTCCTATCCCATGACAGAGTCGTGTACCAATAAAGAAACAAAATATGAGGCTTTGATAGCTGGATTGGAATTGGCGATATTAATAGACAAAATAGACATCACCATTTATGGTGACTCACAACTCATCATTCAGTAAGTGGTCCGACAGTACAAGATCTTGAAGCCAAGGTGAGAAGAGTATCACTGGTACACGATGAAATTGCTGGAACAAACTCTTGACATGACATTGGACAGAATTACTTGAGGAGAAAATGCCCACACAGATACCTTGGCTAAACTCTTGAAAGAATTAGCATGTCCACAGGGAGACTCTATTGACATCACGATCCAAGGACGTTGGGTTCTGTCACGGATTGACATGGATAATCTATATAAGTTGGGAAAAGAGGAAACACTAATGACAATGACCTAGGATACCGAGGATTGGCGCCAGCTGTTTGTCGAGTACCTACAGACAGGAGTGTTACCGGAGGATAAGCCAGTGGCACACCAAGTCAAAAAGAGGGTCATTTTATACACTTTAATCAATAATATTTTGTACAAAAGATTCTTTGATCAGATATGGTTAAGATGCTTAAACCAAATAGAAACACAAAATATTGTTAATGTAGTGCATGCTAGACTGTACGATGCTCATCAGTTGGGGCCGAAGATGAAGATGTAAATTAAGAGACTTGGATATTATTGACTGGCAATGATGTTCGATTGTATGGAAATAGCCAAGAGATGTCACCAGTGTTAGGAACATGGAGTTGTCTTGCACCAACCTCTGAATATGCTACATCCAACGATTGTATCACAATTATTCGAGTGTTGGGGTACGGATATAGTGAGTCCTATCAACCCTCCCTCGTCGATTGAACACAGATTTATCCTAGCAGCTACGGATTACTTCTCCAAGTGGGCATAGATAGCGCCATTATAGGAAGTTACAACACAACACATTCTTTAGTTTGTTAGAAATCAGATTGTCTACCATTTCAGTGTTCCACACAGGATCATTTCTGACAACAGGTACCTTCAAGAGCATGAAGATCAACAGTTTTGTCAGACGACACGAGATAGTTTGGAAATAATATATGATCTACTATCCAAGAGCAAACGACCTAGTAGAAGCCTTCAACAAGACCCTCATGCAAATTTTAAAGAAAACATTGGACGACAACAAAAGAGGATGGTACGAGAAACTGTTAGAAGCCTTGCGGGCATACAAGACAACTGTCAGGTCTCCGATACAGTCCACACCGTATGCGCTCGTGTATAGTTTTAAGTTGAATGTGGGCAATCCTTCTGATGTTTGACTTCATGAATTTAAGGGATGAAAGTATAAGAATGTCGGTCATGGTTTGGGTGGAGTTTGTGTCAGGATTGATATATGATGATGATGGGAAAGAAATGCGAGAGGGAGATTTTGGAATAAGAGAGGTGAAGGTTGAAGAAACATGATAAGGACCTTTCTCTGATACCCTGAAACACTTCTTGAATTTCAACAATTGAAGAAGTTCATGAGCTCGGGATACAGAAAACAGATCAGCTACATCTTTGCATTAACCTATTTTAGAAGTTCATAATTGAATACAAACCTATTGTAGAAGTTCATAAGTGAATACAAAGTAACCTCTACACCAGCTATACACATGCATGTAGTGTATGGAGAAGAGAATCCAGGTGGTTCTGCTGTCAGAATTGGTTATTCGAGAAAGTGGAATGTACAGCCAAACTAATTATTATTATAGTTCTGCAAGTGAATGTCTCCCCCAGCTACCCCTGGTTCTACCATTGAGTCTCAAGTTGAAGCAAATCAATATTAATTTAAAATCAATTAAACATCAACAATTATCCAATATACTCCAACCTGCTGGGCAGTAGTTAACTTAGCAGGCTTAACCACATCCACTGATATTTCTGTAATAACATTAAAAAGAAAATACTAATTCAACCCAATGCCCACCAACTATAAATCAATGTTATCTCAGCACAAAAAAAAAGTATTATTTATACTACTAATCCTGCTCCTTTATCAAATTGGTGAAAAATGGCAATATATGCCAAAATACATTTGTTCTCCCAAGTTAAAACTTACAAGGTACCAGCAATCGTAAGTTATCACCAAAATTGTAATCTGCAAGAAAATGGTAGAAAACCTGCCTAATCCAGTGGGAATGTGCAGCACGACTCTGACGAAGGCTTAATTCTTCAAGGTCAACACTATTATCTTATACTTTTTTAGTTGATTTTTTAGAAATTATATACATATATATATATTTAGCACTGACATGCCTTCCAACAAGTATTGCCACAAAACTTGGAAAAAAATCAAATAAATAAAAAACAAAAAAAAAACACTCTGGTCAACATGACAATTCTTCCTCCTGCGGCCATCACCCTGCTTAAATCCCTTCCCAATCAGCTGGAACGGAGAAGATAAGAAGAACAAGTCAGATGGGACAAACGGAGGAGAATTGTAGAGCAAACATACTTTTCAGACGAATAAAGCAGTCCTTCCATGCAGTTTGTCTGACCCTCCTCTCCCATATCCTCCCCCTCTCCTATCTCCTATTGGCTAGACTCACCTCTCCTCTTCACTCCTTCACATTGAACTCCGTCATTCTTTATTTTCTTGTTTCATTCATGTCCTTATCCTCCTTATTCTCCGCCATCACAGGCCACAGATTCAACAGTAAACTTCCAAACTGGATTGCCTGGGGCTTTCTCTGCCTCTTCCAAGCCTGCATTACTTTTGGAATTGAAGCAATGATCAGAGCAGGATTCCAACCATTAGAAAACATCAGTGGAATTGCAAATTGTACTTGGTTGAAAAGAATCCTCCTTTTCATTGGAATCTATGACCAGATGATTCTTTGGAAAACAATGCTTGTGAAGCCGGTTGTGGATGACACAATCTTCGATGGAGAGACAAAGGAAGGAGGCATGGAGATGTTTGTGATGGGATTATCATTCAGTGGATTGTGGCAGTTGCTTCTGCAGAGGGAGGTAGAGCCTCTTTTTTGGGTTTTGGGAAGGGGGGGATTGAGGAATGGACTAGATTGGTGCGACTTCATCCCTTGGTTGGTGACCTTTGCAACTTTACTGACTGGTTTTGTGAGAGCTGTGAAAGTTATTGTCTGGCAATTAAGTGTATTGCTACAGTTTATCTATTGTAGGGTAGAGCAAGAAGCTGGTAGGCTTAATTCGGAAGACAATGAAGTGTGAAGCGATTGATTGATTGCTGTCGCTTATCTATTTTTTCCGTTGTGCTTTTATCTGTATAAAATGTCCCCAAATTTGGGGTAATCACAGAGGCTAAATTGGTCATGTAGTATCTAAATTTTTAACATATAAGATTAAAAAAAACAATGTTTGATTTCAGGGAGAAACTTTTGTAAAGTGATGGACCTAATTTTTGCGGATTAAAAAAATATAGGTGAAAAAAGCTATTTTCACGCAACCTAGCCCGAAGACCGCCCGGTGGTATTCTGGTGGCATTTGGTGATATTATAGTGGTATTTTGGTGTTATTATTTAATATTTTTGACGGTATTATTGTGGTATTATTATGGTATTCCAATAATTTTATTGTGGCATTATAGTAGTATTACGACGGTATTATGGTGATATTCTAGAGATATTCTGGTGGTATTCTGGTAGTATTATTGTGGTACTCTTTTGATATTCTGATGCTATTACGGTGATATTATAATGGTATTATGACAGTATTCTGACAATATTCTAGTGGTACTATGATGTTATTATGGGAGTATTCTGGTAGTATTATTGTGGTATCCTCAAATTTGACATTTCTAATGCATTCCTTTATGGAACTCTCAACAAAACGGTCCATATGAAACAACCACCCGGGTTACATAACCCTCAATTTTCCAACCATGCATGTTTACTTTAAAAACCTCTATTTGGACTCAAACAGGCTTCAAGAACACGGTTTATTACCTTCTCAGCTTTCTTCACATCAACTGGTTTTCAAGTCAACAAGGTTGATTCATCTCTGCTTCTATATTATCAGAACAATGTTAGAATTTTTTTACTTATTTATGTCGATGATATCCTCAATAATGGCAACAACCCGAATGTCATATCCTAGCCAACTGATAGTCGGCCTCCAAGTTTCAGCTTAAACATCTCAGTCGGGATCACTTCAGTACTCATGGTTACCTGATCAGACATATCTTCTAATGTAAATTGGCTATGTCTACATATGCATTCTCCTACCACATCCCATTATAAGAAACTCACTTATCTTCTTACATATCTGAACATGATACTTCAACCAGGAGACCTCCACCTTTGATCATATGCAGATGCAGACTGGACAGGTGATCAATCTGACAGAAAAATCCACTACTGAGTCTACGGTCTACTCCTTTCTTTGCAACAATCTCATCCCCTATATGGTTAAGAAACAATCAAAGGTGGCAAAGTCATCCACTGAGGCTGAATACCGCACACTAGCAACCACAACTACATATTTTATATGGCTCAGCAAACTCATCCAAAATTTGTTTTAAACCTTCAGCAGCCGACAAGTCTTTACTGTGACAACATTTCCGCCATATCACTGGCCAACAATCCCGTTTTCCATGCTATGGCAAATCACATCAAGAATGTTAATCAATTTATAAGAGATCTCATTAACTCCAAGCATATTCAACTTGAGTATATTCAATCTCAGGATCAACCAGCAGATATCCATATCAGAGCATTACCAAAACTCAAATTTCATGAGCTCCGCAACAAGCTTATTATTCTCCCAACAACCGTCAACTTCCAGGGAGTATTAGCAGCAGTGCTCCCCTACCGTGTGGGAGCACTACTGTGACAAATTGCTGAATCACAGTGATCCCCAAACCATCCACCCCAATATTGTAACTGTTATTTTGACCCCCAATTAATGAACTAAGGTAAAAGGGAAATTTTGTAATGTGGCACCGCCACCTACCACATCTCTACCTACC